CTTCTGCTGAATTTGTAAGTTTGCGGATTTGCAAAAAAAAAAAAAACCTTTAATTTTTATGGTAGTTTAATTTTAACAGAGAGACGGAACAAAAGGTGCCAGAGATAATTTATCGCTACTGTTTGATGATGCAACCCATAAAAACACGGGTGAACTTTAACAGAAGGGCAGGTATTCATGTCAGGGGGAGACTGACAGAAACATGGCTGTCACCGTGAAAAAAATGTGACCAATAAAGAACGTCACCATTGAAACACATATATGGATTTGATTTGTATCATTAGGATCATGAATGCTCTTCATTTAGTAGCATTCCACTTTGGCATGTTGGGAATCTTCATCCCATGTCAATAATTTACCAAGTAAACTGAGAGGGAGTGATCAATTCAAACAAAGAAGCTATACACACACAGACAGAGGTGTGTGTGTTAAAAAAAACACGAGTTATGTGGGTTAGATTTATGCAGATTTTGACACCACCGCACACGACTGAAAGCTTTTATTATAAACACATTTTTTGAGATATAAAGAGTTGATTTTTCACATTTAAATGGGTAAAAATAAATACTGAACTTCCAACATCACACTTGTATATGAACTGCATGTGGGAAATTGGCTTTTTCTGAGACGTCATGATTGATGCTGCCAGTATGTCCAGGTGTTACAGGAATAAAAACTTTCCCCTTCAGCATGACAGATTGTGAGTACTTACAAATATCACACACACCGTTCTGCATCGTGAAGATCAAACATCCCAATTTTCTTGGCATTAACATAGTTGGTACAAAGAATTTTTAACTGGAGGATGACTTTAAGCATCAGTTTATCAGAAAAAGTTCTGAGGGCTTCACCCATTCACATTTGCTTACGACTCTGGCTATTGGAAGCTCCGAAATGCTCCATCCATTCATCAGTTTATTCAATTTAGGGACATGGGGGCAGCTGGAGCCTATCCCAGCTGTGACAGGGAGAAAGGTGGGCTAACACAGACAGACATTCACAGCTAAATTGGCCAATTTAGAATTACAAACTGTGGGAAAACCCACAGAGCACCCAGAGAATGTTCACACGGATACTGGGAAAACATGCAAATTCCACACAGAAAGGCCCCAGCCAGCTGGAGGAGTCTTCTTTCATTTCTAACCGTTGCACCAGTGTGGTTATCTTCATCATGCAAACTCTCAACTTCATCTAGAAATCTTGTTTTTTTTTTTGTATTTTTCTGGACTCTTTGCACTTTTGCACTCATCCAGCACATATCAAGCTGAGGTCTAGAAGTAATCATACATTTATGAACACTATAAGCAGAATCGCTCCTGGAATGACATGACATTTAATAAAACTGTAATCAGACTGACATGCATCCACGTGTGGATGCAAACATACTACGAATACAACATGCATCAATAAACATACTATTTTGAATTACTATTTAAAGACACCTAATATATTTGAAATATTATACCACAATTCATAAATTGATCACATTAATTAAAAAACAAGAAAAACAGGCCGCTTTTGGAAGCAGGTGTACATCACACCGCGTGTTTGTCACTTTCTGCCTCTGAAACGTTGTAATTGTCTGAGTAAAAACCAGAGTAACAGAGCCAACAGCATGCTGAGCGAGGCGAAGATACAACAGTACACCACCGTGCTCCATCCCCAACCTGCTCCTAAAGGAGGCACACCATTCATCTCAGCAAGTATGCACCAGGATGGACAGACCGCTGTCTGAAACGGTTGCCTCTTAGAGTTATGGTGATGTACAGTAACAGTGTTAGGGTCTTATTCTGTTGTCTACAGGTAATTATTTGGTTTTTCTTGTCTTCTGGAAGATGTGACCATCCTGTGAGGTCCTGACACTAGGTGCTAAAAAAATAATAGCTTCAGTCAAATTTCTTCAAGATCAAATGGAAGAAGATGGAAGTTCCAAGAATGAAGGTCTTAACTCAAGCCTCCAGTGTGTGATCAGAGGAATATTCCACAAATATGAGGAGCATCCAAATGTATCCGATTTCTCTTTTCACTTCTTCTTTCTTCTGTCCTCTTGACTGGATTTTCTATATACTCTTGCTTTCCCCTTTTAAACCCACAGGTAAATATGCCATCGACACAGGCAGACAGACAAATGGATGCAGACATATAGAATATATCACCAGCTACCCATTTCAGTCTGACCTGTGAGCCCACCCACATGAAATCTCCGCCCTTCCCTCAGGTGACTTCCATCATCACATCTGATTAAAACATACTTTTAAAATCCATTCTGTCTGAATAAAACATATATTTTGTAGGTTCAGTACAATGTACACTCATTTACTGCAACACTTTATTAGGTACACATTCCAAAGATCAGACTCCCTTTTGACTCCACAACTGCCTTATTTTTTCACTGCATAGATTCAAACATGGTACTGAAAACATTCCTCAGAGATTTTGCTCCATGTCGACATGATAGCACTACACAGTTACGGCAGATTTTCAGCTGTGTATTCATGATTTTAATCACCACATCCAGCAACAATCAGTCCAATTGAGATCTGATGATTGCAGAGACCATTTAATTCATAAACTCACTGTTCATGTTATAGAAACTAATTTTAGATGAATTGAGCTTTTTAAATGGCACGTTATCCTGTTATAGGCAGCCATCAGAGGATGGGTACACTGTGGACACAAAGGGATGGACATAGTCAGCAACAATACTCAGGCTGTGGTATTTAAACAATGCTCAGTTGGCACTAAGGGCACAAATTGTGCCACCACCCATATGAATCATTGATGCAAGACAGGATGGATCCATTCCTTCATGTTGTTTAGACCAAATTCTGACCCTATCATATAATGTGGTACCCGGTATGGTCTTCTGCTGCTATAGTTATGTTTTCAGATATGCTCTTCTATATACTTTGGTTGAGATGAGTGGTTATTTAAGTTATGTTTGTCTTACTCTCAGCCCAAAGGAGTCTGAACCTTTCTATGCATATTATTTTAATGGCTGATTAGATATTTGCATTAGCAAACAGCTGAACAGGTGCACCTCATGGCGTGGCCAGTGGGTGTATTTTAAAGTCCATTCTCCATGAATAAAACATGCATGCTGTAACCACAGTGCATTCGTACATGCAAGTACCTTAAAGAACCCAGTTTCAGGACACACTAGGCAGCACATTGATGAACACAAGATGAGCTTTCATGGAAAACGTAACGGATTTACAAGTCCAAAGAAGAAATCAACAAAACCGAAACAGAAGGAACCAAAAAGACATCGCAGGCAGTAAAATTGGTTAGCCAACAACTTTCAGAGGAGAAAATAGGACTACAAATAAGGACCATAACTACAGGTGAATCCAGTGAAGGTGGAGTTGATAGAGAAGGAAAACAAACACAGAGGAATCAAAATATGGGAAGACCCACAAGGAACAGCAGTTACCAAAATACAACAGGAAGTTACTACAAATGAAACACAAAAGGCACACAGACGCAGGTAGTCTCTCTATCTTTCTATCAGTGTGAAAAAGTTTAGCTACCCATCAGATGTCAGAGTCAGATGATTCATGAGCTATGCAGTATGAAGGAAACAACATATTTTCATCAAGTAAAATTTTCATATGCACAAGTGTACTTGTAATATATGTAATGTAATGTTGACATTACATTCATCTCTTATGTTATTGTGCCATCAGGTGGAAGGCAGGAGAAAAAGACACTATTGCACATACAATTTACTCAGCAGGTTAGTCTCACCTAAACAGACCAGTACCTGCATAAATAATCAGGTGCTAACACAGGCATATAGGCCAGAATCACACCAAAGGAAGCAAACAGATGCAGAAAAGCAGGGAATATAAGACACAAGGAAACAATCCCACTGGAACCCTGGGCTAAGGTCATATTTAGCAACTAAAGTCTGTAGAGTTTTTCTTCTTTATTATTATAATAACAATTATAATAATTTAATATTATTTAAAGAACAACAACACAAGCAGATGAATAGTTAAATACATTATCCTGAAGCAGAAAATCCCATGTTTGGGGAAAAAAAGGAAATAAAAAAATCAGATTTTCAAGGACATTGCACACAAAGATTTCATACAGGTAAAAACACTGAGATTATTGTTGTAAGAAAAACACTCTTCAGACTAACCATCCAGTTCTAGGTGTGGCACAACATGTGATTACAAGTTTTATCAATTCAGGTTTTACTTACTACAAGCTATAAACTCCTAGCCTCATTTCATATGTAAATATGCTGTTTAGTTACTAATAAGTGGTTGTTTTTAAAGGAGAAAGGCTAAATAATAATAACTCTCTCTGGTAAAGAGACCAGAATAATAGTATTTAGGTATGGGAATACATTTGATCATTTATTATTATTAGCTTTGGTTATTTATTTATTTTTAAATATGGTTATTTTAAAAAGTATAATTTCTTCATACTGACTTTTTCCACGTTGTATAATTGTCATATAACATAGCGAATTACAGAAAAAAATAGTCTGTTTCTAGTTTTCTCTTAAGTGGTCTGTGGAAACAAGGACTACAGAAGGGAAATAAACGTAGTCTGTGCACTACAAATAAATATAATTAATATTGCTGTGACTGTTAGCTTGTTGCATGTGCAGTGAACAGGAGTGCAAGTAGCAAAAACGTTGAACAGGTATAAGAAGGTATAAGAAGGCTGCAGTTTAAATCTTATTTAAGTGTTAGAGGCTGCACAAGTATTGTTGATAGGGAGTCATCAATACGTCACACCTACTTTCTAGAAAGAACGCGATTTACTCGGAATGATCTTGTATTTAGAGGTGTCATTTCATGAATATCTACTTTTATAAACGTAAAGGTCTTTCTGAGATGTACTTTGGTATTCGGGCGTATAAAACGTTAAATCTGGCGTTTAAGTCTGTTTGCTAAATCTGTGCACTGAGGGTTATTTGCTCTGGGCGCACCCCCGCGTCTGTCGGTAAGTGGTATGATCAGCAGTGATAAATACGGGTACACGCGCGGCTGTTCGCTGTAGTCAAGATAGTAGATTGAACTAGAGAAGTGATAGCTAAACTTTAGCAACAATGGAGTGGACCCCGATGGAAATCAATCCAGAGGTAAGGAATGTGTGCTTAATTACAACAGTAATGCTTTCAAAGACAGCAGACTTTTGTCTTACCGCTGTCTTTTTTCGTTTGTTTTTGTTGTTTCAGATGCTGAACAAGGTGCGTATGAAATTAAACGTTAGCCGCCGAGTAATGGCGACATGTTAGTAACCACTGACCCAACCGCCAGGTAAGTTTCACAGGGGCTAATTAGTTTAGAGGGCCGTTAACGTGTTTCCAACATTAAAACGCCATCAGGCCACTACGAAGCACCAGTATACCAGTAGAGGTGTAGTTGCTTCGCCAACTATCCAGGTAACAGCGTTAATTGATACTAAAAATGAAATATCGGGGTTAACAAGAGTTTGACCGTTATCCCATATTTACGGGCAGTAGCATCCTTCCCGCGGCTGTCCCAGTGTCTGGACTAAAGGGTGTGGCCTGAGTGAACCAGCATAACGCAGCATCTCTGAGCAGCTTCTGGGAGCATCGTCTGCCAGTGTGCAACTGTTGGGGGCTTATTCTTTATTCCGTCATCGTTGTGCCTTTCAGATGATGGGAAAGCTGGGCGTTGGTGAAAGCTGGCGCTTCGTCGACGTGCTGGGGCTGGAGGGTGAGCAGCTCTCCTCCGTGCCGAAGCCGTGCAGTGCCTTGATGCTGCTCTTCCCCTTAACGCAACAGGTAACGCCAGGGTGGTGGCGCTGACTACTTCCTGGAAGGGTGGGTCGATCAAGTGAATATTGGCCGCATCGAGTGGGGTGACTCGGAGATGCAGGGAGGGCATGGATAGAAAAAAAAAAACTCCTAATGTTATTTAGATGGGTAGAGGAGTGAGAGAGAGAGATGGCGAGAGAGATGGCGATGAGGAAATGAATCAGCAGATGCTATCACTACTCTAATTTTGAATGTTTAATGTTTAATATTTTTTCACATACTAAACAGTTTAAACATACTGCAGTTAATAAAACAATGGGATTTTTTTTGATGGTTGAGATTTCCTGACTTGGCTCATTTTAAGTGGTAGACCCACTACACAGTATTATCAGACTGATGATGACATGCTTTTTTTTCTTTTCTTTTTTCCCCCCTGTATGGCAGCATGAGTCTTTCAGATCTCAGCAAGCTGATAAGGTTTCAGGAGGTTCTGAGGCTTATTTCTTGAAGCAGACAGCAGTCAATTCCTGTGGCACCATTGCCCTGCTGCATGCTGTGGCCAACAACAAAGACAAAATGACTTTTGGTGAGTACAAGAGGGATCTGGTGCACCAACTGAACATGTATGAATAAATATTTAAATTGGTGACTAAAATAATTCTGCCTGTGGAAATTTTCCTACTGGACTTTCCAAATCTGTTTCTATAAAATGCATGGAGGAAGTGTACTAAATGAAAGGTTAAACAACAAAAAGTGCTGTTACCCCATGATTCAGCTTGATGTGCATAATCAATCTTCCTGGTATCTAAGCTAATGTTGACATTTTCAGATGGTGCCTCTGCCTTGAAGAAATTTCTGGATGAGACGGCAAATATGTCTCCTGATGACCGTGCCAAACATCTGGAGAAAAACAAAGTAAAGTGCAGTTAAATTATTTAGTTTATAATAAATCTGATTTGGTAGATGAGAATCAGAATACTTTAATAATCCCTAAGGAAATTAGGATTATGGTTGCTCCAAGACAGTAACATACTGAACTAATTAAATAATATGATACATTACATAATTTACACATTTAAGAAATGGCTCTAATATATACAAATCGCTCAATTATAAATATCAAGAATATTACAGAGGTGAAATTTGATTGACATTAAACTCTAAACTATGAAACTTTGTCATTTGTTATTTTACTGTAAAGCATGTGCCACGGGTGTAACTATTGCAGTGTGCACAGTGTATTATATGGAGGAGTTGTAGAGGGAGATGGGCAGGAATGATTTCCTGTCATTCAGTGGTGCTTTTTGGTAATCTCAGTGTCTCACTGAATGTGCTCCTGTGACTAGCCATTACATCATGGAGTAAGTGAGACTCGAATCTTTTTATCCTAAAGTCTTCACATCTAGGAATATTAGATAGCTTGTACAATAGTCTGTCTGTAGTATACTTGTGTCGACCAACCAAATAAATGTAATGGCAAAGTATTATTGTATAAGGGGCTCATCTGACTTGAAATCAGATCAATTGTACAGGGAAACTTGCAACGGTCCATTTTAAAATGGATGCTTTAAACTTCAGTTTGAAATGACTTGTCCTCTGTGTATAAAAAAA